TGAGCCTGCATGAACCTCACTAACGTTAGGCCGAGTCAGAGAAGCCGCAATCTCCAGGAAAGGCAAATCCACAGAGACAGAACACAGATCTGTGTCTGCCCAGGAACTGGGGCAAAGACTCAAATAGGCACAAGCGAGCTTTCTGGGGTGATGGGAATGCTAGAAAAGTAGACCTTGATGGTGATTGCACACCTCTATCAATGTGATTAAAACATCGTTGAACTGTATCCTTGCGTGGGGTGAATTTTATGGTCTGTAACTCACATATGGATGAAGCTGTTTAAAAAGCCTGCCTTGGTTGGGCGCTGGGCTCCTGTAGCAGCAAGTAGCTGAGGCTTCTCGAGGACCTACTCTGTGTCAGGCACTGCTCTCGGCCCTACACCCCCAGTAATCTATTGATTCCTCCCATTAACCTTTTGGGGTGGGGAGTGTTATTGCCAACGCACAGAAGAAGCAACAGGATGATGTGATTAGGAACTTGCCTAAGATCACAGAGAGTGGGCGTGGGACCTGGCTCCAGGCTTCAGAACTTAAACATTACGCAGCCAGTCTCTCTGAGATCAGGGGTAGCCAGGCCAACGGCAGCTGTCCACTTCTTCAAAGAGCAAACATTGGGGATGCGGGGGTGGCTCAGAGGTTAAGCGGCTGCCTTTGGCCCAGGGCGTGATCCTGGAGTCCTGGGATCGAGTCCCACATCGGACTCCCTGCATGGAGCCTGCTTCTCTCTCTGCCTATGTCTCTGTCTCTCTCTCTCTGTGTCTCTCATGAATAAATAAATAAAATCTTAAAAAAAATAAAAAAGAAAAAAAAAAAAAACAAAGAGCAAACATTCCCCAAACTAGGGCCACCCCTGTCCCCTTTTCAGCTCCTCTTTCTCTCCCCCTGCAACCTGTCACCTCCACCACTCCTTGCTACGCTGGACTAACCGGATTCACTAACAGGCTTGTCCTTGCGTCTAGAACACTTGCCAGAGAGTTAAGATGGGCTCAGGCAAGCCAGATTTCCCAGGAGCTGCAGCAGATTCCACAGTGGCTCTGGAGGCCACTCATTTTCCCCTCCATACTGTCAGACTGCTTTTCACATGAATTACCTGCTCTTTGCAAAATAACAAGAGCATAATCATTCCGTGTATTTTCAGAGTCTTTACGGGAAGTAGAAAACAGGGATGAGGAACACATGGATGGTTTTCAGAAAGCAAACTGAACATTTCCATTCCTTCAAAAGAACCTGTTCTACACTCTCTGGCCCGAGGCAAATACCTAAACCTTTCCCAAGAAATGCATCATGAGAAGATTAACAGGCCTGGACACTCGGGTTAGGGAAGAATTATAATGCTCTTGATCTTAGATTACAAGGGATTTTCGCCTTGGCACCACCCCCCAGTCCTCCCCTGTTGCTAGAGAGAGCGCCTCTTACAGAGTGCTGATTTAGAAGTGCATGCAACCCCAAATCAACATTTCCGGTACAGCAAAGCAGTGGTGGTGTGTGCAGGGGAGGCCATCAGGAGAAAAAAGTGAGTGGTTTCCCTCAAGTCAGGCGTCTTTCCCACTGGGTGAGTGAGCCCGGGGTTGGCTGGGTATGAGGTAGGTTTCCAGCTGTCACTGAAGCTGAAGCCTGGAGCTTTCTCAATTGCTGTCAATTGGCTTCCTCTGGCTCCCGTTGCCTTGGGTGAGCATGATGGACAACCTTGAAAAGGTTCTGAGATAAAAGCGCCCTTGTTCCGCTTGCAGATCACACGGAAGACTCTGAAGGCAGAGATCAGCCTAATTAGGGCTGCAGCACTCCCACAGCTGAAGGCACGGGAAGCCTGAGCTGCCACCACTTCTTCAGAGCTTGCGGCTTTTCCGTTCAGACCAGAAACACCCCTCTCTCCAGTCTCACTGCTCTTTGATGATATTCTAGCTGCAAAAATAATGAACACCCCGAGCTCTAAAATACTGAGGCCGGGAGGGAATGTGGCTGAAGACCCAACCTGTGAATCAATGGGTCTTGACTTCCCATCTGCCCTCTAAAGTTGGGCGAACAGTATGGCTTCAACAAAACCGCCCCCAGAGGCTTGGGACAATCTCACAACCGGCCTCCTTCTGGCTCGTCTGGCAGCACCGAGAGAGTATTTAACAAAAAATGCCCCCAACAGAAGATTCCTAGAATGATTTTCCTGAAATGCCAATCTGCGAGTCTCACTGCTCTCATCCTGCATTAAAGCCTTTCTTTAGCTTCCTGCTGTCCCAGAGTCAGACCTGCATTCTTCGGCTGAGCCGCCGCATCTTCTCAGGAAGTGTTTCCTCCTCAGCCCTGTCTCTCACATCATCTCTCTTAGGCCACAGCTAAACTTCCAATAATTCACCTCCCTCTCTCTTCCCCTAGGCCTTTATATATTGAGCTGTACAGCGGCCCCCCTCAGTTTGCTGTCAGGATTCATCTCCTGCAGAACGCTTCTGAACAGACTCTCCCCATCTCTCCCCCTTGCCCACGCTGCAGGCTGGGTGGTGCGATCCCTAAGCATCCAGGTCACATCACCATTGGTGATGGTGGTGGCATTGCCTGTGGATGTGACTGGCTTCTCTGTGAGGTCTAAAGCTACCTGAGGATGAGACTCATCCCCTGACATCTCCCCTACTTCCCAGCACGGTCCATAGCGCACTCCAGCTGATAAGCATTTACCCGGTTACCCGGTGGATAGGTGAGTCGACCATAGCAGGCCAAAAAGAAAGCTCTGGATTTCTGCAAAATGCAGGACTCTGCAGGAGTCTGTGCTGAGGAGCTGGTGTGAAAGAGCAGTTTTATTAGCATGTATCCTAAATCATAAAGTCCAAGATGAACATCCTGGCTCCTGGGACCCATGAATAAAAAGCACAAGCATGTGCACACACTCTCATTCATTTTTATTCGCTCCTTCAAGTGGGAGTTATTGCGTACCTACTGCGTGGCAGGCAGGGCACCTGGGACATAGGCATGCTCCTGCACCGTGGAGCATTTAGCCAGGTCACTCTGGGGAATGCAACCTTCCTGTCTGAAAGGAAAGCTAGGAATAGATTCACAGAAAACAGGCCACAGGAGAACTTTTAAGGACTGGCTACGATTCAAGAGTCTTAGGGAAGAAGCCTTCAAATAAACTTGATAAAAAGTCTTTTTATACGTGGTGCTGAGGACCCATTTTCCCTGAGAGGAAGTGGACAGGAGAGGAGGAAGCAGGTTTCAGAAGCAGCTGCGGGAGTCCTGGCAAAATGTCAGCTTATTCCTGTGATGGTGGTAAGAGCTGCGATAGCTTAAATTTCACCACCAGGAGAACCCACCACTCCTCTCAGCGCCTTCGGGAAGGGCCAGCAGCTCTGTGAGGTAGATGGATATGGGTCCGTGCCCAGCTCCAGGACACCTGTCACTGTCTGCAGCCCCGGCAATGCTGCTAGGACATGCCTGGACTCAGACCAAACCAGCACTGAACCTGAGTCCACGACGTCCGAGCCCACGATCGCAAATCTCGGTCCCCGTTATTCAGAGAATGAGGTTACTCCTGCTACCTCGCAGGACACCATAAGGACTGAATGAGACGACGTGCTGGGACATGCCTGGCATGCACTGCCATGAAGTCTGTACGTAAAAGGCTGCTTGAGTTAGGATGCTGATATGGTCACTCGCAATCAAGGCATTATATAGAGACTGAATGAAGCGATGATTCAGATGCTTAGCTCTTATGGTCAAGTCGCATGAGTCATATGGTATTATGTTATATCACAATATAATTATATACTGTAATAGGATACATAATATCATATATCATATAATAAGTAATCAACAGTACTAGTTTGCATTTATGGAGCACTATCCAGGAGCCCTGTTCTAAGCACTTTGTGCCCCAAGAAGTCTATTATTATCCTTATTCTACAGGAGAGGAAACTAAGGCCCAGAGAGGCTAAGTAATGAACCCCAAGTCATACAACCAAGATTGTGGTGGGACTGAACCCAGATGGTGGGGCTGCAGAGCATGTCCTTTGGCCACTAATAAGCGCCCAGAACATCAGGCGTGCCATCCTAAAGCCTGTGTTCACCACTCTCCCTCTCCAACAGCAGCCTCTAGGACTGTCCAGGACTCTCTAGTCTGTCGTCTCAAACATTTCCTTAGAAACCAACCTGGGACCCCCATTCTACACCTACTTATATTTTCAATACACCGTTTCTATTTTAGTCTGCATGGTCCTCATCCCCTATTGTGTAGAGATCTCTTGATCATCTGAAGACACTCTACTTTGCTTTTTAAGAGGAGACCCCCATTTCCAAAATACGGTCAAGGAGTTCATACTGCCCTGCCTACAGGGGTTCTGAATCTGTCTATTTGTAGCTCTGAGCTTCTTTTGAAGACTAAGGAATTAAAATATTACAGAAGGACGGAAGTGGTGCTCTTGGCCTTTACTGCCACGAGCACAAGCCATAGTTCGCAAGCACTGTTGGGGGTGGTGGACTCCTGGACCTCCACCCCCACTTTAGAACCAAAGCCCTCCTTTTATCTGTTTCATGTAAAGTTTCATTTGAAAAGGGGTCGTGTTTGAAAAGATATCTGAAAACCACTAGAAAGTCCTAACATATTTGGAATTATTGAACGTATATTAAAGGAATGCTTAGGAACCCCTGGTTTCGGCCCCCGCCTTTTGTAGGGTGTGAAATGAAAGCCAGGCAGGACCAGAGAACTGTCTCTCTGTTCTGCTCCCTATCCAAGTCCTCATGAACCCATTCGGAACACAGGTCTGATGGTCCAGGAGGTCTTTACCTTGACCATCCAAGTCCCTCTCATTCCAAATTTCCATTTTAACCTTCCACCATCATAAAGAACATTCTTAACCCAACGACAGACTAAGTCTCTTGGGACCATGACAGTGCATGCTTCAAAATTCCACCCAGCCATTATCCATCTTCTGGAGTCTTACAAGTAGGAAAATAACTAGAGAAGCATGGTGAGCTCTTAGCTTCTCATGAGATCCCCCTGGTGTAATGCAGAGCCTTACCTGTTTTTCAATGAAAGCATTGATTCTCTGCAGCATTCCCTCACATGTGAATTCATATGGCATGTATGGCTCAATCTGTGGAAATAGAACATGGTCTCATGAAAGAGGATGACACAGAACCTAGGACATTTAACCAATCCTCCCCTGATTCACTCAGGTGCCTCGAGAGGGGAAAAGACTATGAACTTGGATGTCAATACACCTGGGTTTACAACCTGCCTCTGCTCCTCATTCACTGTGGGACCCTGAGCAAATTACCCACCATCCCTGAGCCTTGGGCTCTTCATGTGCAAAATGGTAAGAAGAAAAATCTACCTTTTAAGCTGTGGTGAAGATTACAAGAAAAAAAAAAGTACAGTGCTTAGTTTGGCTTCCAGAACACAGTAGGCATTCAACAAAAGGCAGGGAGTATAATTTGTTAGAAGTTAAGCTTCACAGGGCAGGCCCCATGGCTGCTGGGCTGTGTGTGCCACACAGGAATGCAGCAAACACCCAGTAAATGACTGCATATTCAATGCTATGATAAGGGCACATGATGAGTGGTTTAAGGACCCATGACGGTGACAAAAGCCCTGGTCTGCATTAGTCGGTAAGGTTAGCATGTACCTAGGGAACTCGTGGGGGCAGAATCAGAGTAATAAAGTGCCTCCAAGAGTTCAGCCAAGGTGCCCAGGAGGCTAGAAGGTAAAAGCAGACTTCTGCTCATGCTGGGCTTTTAAAGCCAGCTGGGATTCCAGCAAACCAAGATGTGGAAGACATTGGTGGTAGGGCACGTAGTGGAAGGTGAGACACGTGAGAAAAACAGCAGGTGGGTAGAGCTTGGGATTGGAAAGGCTGGTGAGACAAGGCTGAGAAGAGGGAAGAGATTCACTGGATGTCCATAAAAAGGTTTCTATACTTAGGATCTTAAGCTTTATTTGAAGGCAGCAGGAAATCCCAGAAGGTGCTTCTCTGGGGTGGGAGAGGCAATCTCATCACTATACTGACACCTGGGGAAGGGGAAGAAATGTGGGTTTGATCTCTGCTGCACAGCATCTGTGCCAACTCTGTGAGGCTTGTGTTTTGGCATCCAGCAAGCACTGCCAATGTGAAATGGAAATTTCACTTTTACACTTGGGATAAAATCACTAGCAATCCAGTCTGTGATGGCTTCAGAGAGCCCAAGAGTACTTGCCAGCAACAGGATAGAGGGCCACCATCAACATCTCCTGCTTAGGTCTACACTCGCTTATCTTAAGTTTACAGGGTGGAGACCTGGACAGAACACCTGTGGGTTGAGGCCTGTGGAACACGGGGCAGTTGACAGAGAAGACATCCTTCCGTGGGCAGCCAAGCAGTTGGACTCAGGGCACCTTCTCCCCTTTCTTTGCGTGTTGATTCACAAATTACATGTGAAATCTTTAACCATGACTGTTAATTTCATAATAGGTTTTCAAACCCACAATCATATAATGCATCACAGAGTTTTAATCTCAGCCATCCCTGCCTACATATATCCAGGAAGAGCTAAAGGGAGCTGAGCTGAGGGCACTGTACTACTGGGGCTGGACTATTGTGCAAGAACACGGGTCGTCTTGTTCCTCAACAAAGCACCACAGAAGAGCTCAAAATACTTAGAAAACTGACTTCCATGTGGCAAGCCAGCTCCCTCTCACCTCAACCTTCTGCAAGTGCTGTGCCCTCTCAGACCCAGATATAGCCCTTCACATGAAAAGTAAAATTTTTCTTTCCTTTTAAGATTATTTATTTACTCAACCTCTGGGTGATTCCAGAGGCTTTCTGTGACTGGCCTACAGAAAGGTTCTCCTCTCAAAGATTCACAGAAGGAAAAGAAAGAAACTACAACAGAGGACTTGGCATATCAGGCTCATTTATGTGGTGACAAGTAGAATTTCTGGAGTGAAATAAACATTGGTGGCCATCTGTCATGACATCAACGGATTCAATTACGTGGTGGGAAGCAGCCTGAATACTCAGGGGCCATACCTACAACTTATTCCAAAGGGCAGCCATTAGAAATGGAAATGAGTTAATTCAAAAGGCTGAAGGTAATAAACATGGCAAAATGGCTCTTCCTCTGTCCTCCTACCAACCAAACTTAACCAAGGGATGCTGATTCATTTATTGCTTTGTAGCCTGTTCACAGTTTTAAATAATATGAAGCCCAATGATTTTCCTATAAAAGAAAAAAAAAAGAAAAAGAAAAAGAAAAAGAAAAAAAGGTAATTGCATTCTTAAACCACCCCAGCCAGTGAGTCTCACTAGTCCTCCTGCTGTGGACAGGAACAGGGCCCTCTGTATGGGAAAGTTCTCCAGACTCCTGGCTTTGGATATAAAAGAACACTGGTGAGCTTCTGATGTAGGAGCTATTGTGGGGACTGGGGCAGGGGGCACACGGTAATTTCTGCATGATAATCCTTCAGGAAAAAGTCAAAGCCTCTTTGGGGAATGGAATGGAAGGGAATGCTGAGACCACATCCAGTTGTGGAGAAATGGGGGAAATGTTCTTGGCCGTCCTGCTTTGTGGGACAAGAACCGCTACTCTCATGGCCACAGGAAGGATGCCTGCAGGCTGCACTGTGTAATTCCTGCTGGCCTTGGAAACCTTCTATTATCTTCCTACCTTTTCCTTTCTTCTCTCTTTACCTCCTATCTTGTGAGAGGTCCTGTCTCTTCTAGTACCCATGCACTGCTCTAAGTCAGAGTACAATTCCTCAAGATCAGCTGACCCTGGACAGAGGTGGCCTGGCATCACTCAATGACAGATGGTTTTAGAAGGTGCAGAAGGCCAGGAGTTGAGTCCTGACTATTTCTTCTACCTACTAACCATAGGATTTTAAGTCAGACATATTCTGCAATTTCTCTTGATGACTTCAAATGTAAACTAGGTCATGCCATTTCCCTGCTCAAAACTTCCAATCATACTTAACATAAAATCCAGAATCCTTATTATGACCTGTTTTAAAGGCGCTACACTTTCTGTCTCTGAAGGACCTTATTTCTGATGAGAAGCTGGTGGTCCTTCATATTGCTAACCGCCTAAATGCAATAAAATTTTCTGATTGCTTTCAAGATCTTTTCCCTATTTTTTTTTGTTTGTTTTCAGCACTTTGGCAATAAGATATACTTGTTTTTCTTCATAATTATCTTGCTTGGGGTTCACTGAGCTCCCAGGATCTGTAGGTCGATGTCATTCATTCATTTCAGAAAATTCTTAGCCATTATCTTTTCAAATATGTCTTCTGGCCATTCTCTCCTCCTTCTGAGATTCCAATGATATATAAATTGGGCTGTTTGATATTTTCCCATAGGTCTCGTATGTTTTTTTTCTTAATTTCATTTTTTCTTTTTGTTTCAATTTGGACAATTTCTCTTGATAAGTCTATTGGTAAGTTCACTGATTTTTTTTCTCTGCTGCTAAGGCCACTGAAAGAGTTCTTCATTCTGATATATTTTTCAGCTTTAGCATTTTTTCCTTTGGCTTTGAGAAAAAGTCTCTAGCTTTCTGTTGAAATTCCCCATCTGTTTGCATATATTGTCCACCTTTTTCACCAAAACTTTTAATATATTTATCCTAGCATCAGTCTCCACAGGAATGACTCTCTGGTGGTGAAGCTCTGGCTGTTGTGGCTGATATTCTGTGGCAGCCCAGTGGGGCCACATTCCATTCCACCTCTTCCCCTTTACTCACACTGTGCCTTGAACCCATGTCTTTCTAGGTATTAGCTTTGCCAATTCCTACTCATCCTCAAAGACTTACCTAGTGCTTCATTTTCCAGAAAGAATCCCCCGACTTCCACTTCTCCATTTTTGCATGTTGTTGTTGGCACTAAACATATTTGGCAAATACCTATTCCTCCTTCTCTCAATCCATTAGGTAACTCACTTTCACAACAGTGAGAGGCATTTCCTGCTCTCATGTTGCGGACAGTCTAATGTAAATCCAGACTGTCACTAACAAAAACAAGAATATTGTATGTGTAATACTAACAGTGACTTAATAATAAGACCAACTAAACACTTACTATGGGGTAGATGCTCCTCTTAAGTGCTTTATATTCATTATCTCATTGAATACTTACAAATATCTATATAGTAGGTAATCCTAGCCTACTTAAAGAGATGAAGAAATTAAGACTCAGAGGTTAAGTAACTGCCCTAGGGACACTACTTGTAGGTGGTAGAGCTGGAATTCCAACCCCAAGCTAATTCCAGCTTGTCCTCTTTAAACCATGCCTATACTGCTTCTTCTAAATAATTGTAAGAGAGTATAAATAGTGTCCTAGTAGGAGTTCAGAGAGCAGGGTGCCCCCAAGGTGTGGAAGGCAGTCTGGGAGCTGAGAGAGGTTAATGTGGCCCTTCTTCACTGGGCAGTAAGAGGGTGCTCTGCATACAGTAGGTACATAATGTCTGCTAAATTGATGATGAGAATCCAGCAATGTTACTTATACAAAATAATATTACGAGGTTTAGCTAAGGGGTGTGTGGGTTGCTCAGTCAGTTGGGTATCTGCCTTTGGCTTGGGTCTTGATCCCAAGATGGAGCCTCATGTCAGGCTTCCTGCTCAGTGCAGGGTCTGCTTCTCCCTCCCCACCACCCCCGGTCTTGTGCTCAGTATGTCTCTATCATAGATAGATAGATAGATAGATAGATAGATAGATAGATAGATAGACAGACAGACAGATAGATAGATAGATGGGTTTAGGCAAAAAAGCCGAATAAATAAAGGCCGTATAAAAACATTTCCCAGGGACGACTGGGTGGCTCAGCCTGGGTTGGCCCAGTGGTTAAGCGTCTGGCTTTGGCTCAGGTCATGATCCTGGAGTCTTGGGATCGAGTCCCACATCGGACTCTATGCATGGAGCCTGCTTCCCCCTCTGCCTATGTCTCTGCCTCTTTCTCTCTGTCTCTCTCATGAATAAATAAATAAAATCTTTAAAAACAACAACAACAAAAACCCATTTCCCGGTATTTCTTTAATAGTTCTTATCATCCTAACTTTTTTGTAGGGGAGCAAGTCTGTGTTTTCTGACCTCTGAGAAAGCTCCAAAATTAGGCAGTGAAACAAGTGTAATTCAAACTCCTACTATTATATCTGCGACCCAGGAGTCATGCCAAAAGATTCTGTAGGATCCATGCACACAGGGGGAGCAGCTCTACTCCCATCTGCCAGAGCACCCACCATCCCTCCCTGGGCCAAATCCTAGAGTGTAGCTCCTTTCTAATCCCAGAGTTAAGTTGACACAGAAATGTTCTAATTACTCAACCAGCAGGCCTTTGAGGCTTTCTACACATTTTAGTTCATCGTACAGATGGGGAAAAATGGAATAAAAGACACAACCTTCTGACTTAAAATTGCTTTCACGGCATCCTCCACTTCCTCCTGATTGCTGAGGTCAACCGTCCAAACATGGGGCTGGCCGATGAAAACTTCAGCATAAGGATGCTGGGAAGTCAGCTGGAAGAGAGAGACAGAACACCTGAGTCTCACAAATACTCTTTTTTCCTAAACTTTCTGTGGTAGATGAAGCGTTATGCTTTTTATGGCATTGTACTTGCGTAGCTAACAAGACATTTTTGTCTCTCCCTGATGATCAAAACCTCCTGAGGACCCATAACTGAAGAACAATAAAAGAGTGATAGCTCCAGATCTTAAATCCCACTTGGAAATGTCAAAACCAGGTGACACATTGGCTGTTACAGGTGGCTTCAATTGCCAAAGCGACACCAAGATACAATGAAAATTTAACTGTTGGTCATATCCCAGCCCTAAACATCACCTAGATCAAACTAGTGTCTGTTAAAAAACAGGGGTAAGGACACACAGTTAAGCATAAGAAAATTACAATAAAGCCAAAAGCTTTAAAGTCATAGGAGGACACGTAATGGTACAAGTGAAATGTGAAGAAAGAGAAAAAAGGGAACCAGAAAAACAGAAAATTTGGTAATGGTTTCAGGACTAATCATTAGCATAACAACGAAGCATCAATACTTATAAAGACAATTAGGATTCAGCAAAACTCTAAATTCAGAGCTTTTATTTTAAGAACAAAGTGGGGCCAGACTTGAAGAGTCCATTCTTTGACAGCTAAATTTACCACTCAAATTGGCTTCCACCTTTATTCTTGTATCCCTTTCAGGGAGTAATGTGAAGGGAACTTTCTGGACATTGGTAAGAGCATTCTCAGTTCTCACAAAGACTGGGGTGATACCTTGATCTGTGAATCTGTGAGTGAGGGACAGGGGGTGCAGATGCCTCACGACCGGTTATAGTCCTACACGAGGCAGGCTGTCCTCTTCCCATACAGCTTGCATGTGCCCTGCTGGGCTTCCATGTGGGCTCACAGAATCTAACTCTTTGGCACCATTTTAATATACATTGAATTTCTCAGAAACATAATTACCATGTAAATCAAGGGATGTAGGGATGTTTGTACCGTTTTCTTTGGAACTTCACCAATAAGCTGTTACTGCTTTGGAAAAACCAGGGCAGCAAAGTCAATGTCACTCAGATTACATGAGTCTCCAATACAACACCCCCAAATTAGTCTCTATTTGTAGCTCTCATAGTAATGGCAATGGCTATTATATGCATATATATAAGCACTTTATAACTTACCTTTCTCTTTTATAATATCACTTATGAGCAAAAAGGGCTGACCATATTCAACTGAATGTTTTCTTCTTCTTAAGAACAAACTTACTCATTGTAAGGAGGAATGAGACTTGTTTTCTACTATAGTTCTTGGGTACGGTATGGTATTTCTTGACTATATATACACCAAAATATGTATTTTCTTACTGTAAATTCTTTTCCTTTATATTAGAGTTAGGGAATCATTCTTTTTTGAAATTACATATGTAGACAGGGTATATTATTTATGAATTTTATTTCAGGACAGAAAAATAGATCTTACAACATAGTTATAGGAGAAACAGGTGTTCGGTCTGGTAGGGTTGAGGCTATTGCTTTAGAAAGGCTAAGCTGGTTCCCTTTTTCTTTAGACTCTAATTACTCAGAGAATGGGATGATTTAACTGGCCCCTCTCCATCTCACTCCTAGCCACCATTCTTCCTATGCTACCTCACCAATTATGTGCACACTCTACTTAGAGCAGGAAACCCAGAACTTATCAGGCCTCAGCTCCTGGCCATTACTGGCATCCTCTCATGGAAACCATGGTTCGTTTGTTCTCTCTTTCTCTCTTTTAAGGGTTATTTAGTTGAGAGAGAGGCAGGGGGAGGGGCAGAGGGAGAGAGAATCTCAAGTAGACTCCCCACTGAATGTGGAGCCTGACTCAGGGCTATATCTTAGGACCCTGAGATAATGACCTGAGTTGAAATCAAGAGTCAGATGCTTTACTGACTGAGCCACCCAGGTGCCCCTGGAAATCATGCTTCTGAGGAGAAAATATCCCAGACTTTGCTCCTGCCCTCCTTTGCTAGAATCACGCCCCTCACTGGCCTGTTCATTTCTGTTCTTCTGACATGGACTCTCTTTTGCTCAGCGATAGAACCGACAGAGTGACTGTAGCAGCTTCATGGAGCTGGGGAAGCTTCATTTTTCTTTTTCCCCCTCAACACACATTTTTAGATTCAACATATATCGGTGAAGCCCCTGGCTGGCCCAGGCACTGTGCTAGTCACCCACATATGCATTTTTTATCACGTTTCCTATGTATCAATGAGAATTTTGAGATTTATAGGCATTTACAATTCCACAAGACCACACAGCCAGGAAGTACAGAGCAAATTCAAATTGAGATCCTTCAACAACGCATTAGCTTTTGACAGAAAGGAAGGTGACAATTATCAAGTATCTACTGGTTTCTTAAGACAAAGATGGAAAGAAAGCCTTAAGTAAACTCCAATCTTTTAATCACGCTCCTAAAACCTGCCAAAACTTTGAAAAAAAAAAAAAATCCCAGGATTGAATTTATTCCTGCAGTAGAGCTTTTTGAAGATGAGCAAAATGTCACCCCGTTTTCACTTGGTGGCCTGGAGAACAAAGTGATTAATTCTTCCGATGGAATCAGGGTAAATTAAAGTTGCTGTCACTGTCACTCTGCAGCCACTTACATATTGGCAATCTCTCTCCCCACCGCTCCTTTGTAAGGTCCCTGTTTATTTGCAAGGTTGCTCTAAGCCCTTGGAAAATACAAAACGCTGAGCCATTATCATTTTATTCATTTACATTTATTGAGGGTTACTTAATTTTAATGAGTAAGGCATTTCATGATTTATTATTTCCCCTCTGAATGATATGCTCCCCCCTGTTAATTTATTGAGAACTATCTGATCTGAGCTACTTCTCTGTATATCAATCAGTAAATTTACTGGAGTATAGTTTGTAAAAGTAATGAAAATCTTATTATATATGAGACATTACTTCAGAGCGGCTATTAAATTTCTAAGGAGAACCTGAGTTCTCTTTATGGAAAAAAAAAACCCTGAAGCCAAAGAATTTCTAATGGTTTACAAAATGTCCAAATAATGATTAAGAACTTGCTAATGTTTTCCCAACATAAAGATAAAAATCCAATTTGTATCACATTGAAAGTAGAACTTGAACGGACCACATTACTTAAAGGCATATGGAATGTTTTCCCTTGAGTATATACATTGCGGTTTTAAAAATTGGTCCAATGTAAAAGACAAAAATAAAACTAAACTCTTGGGCAGCCTGGGTGGCTCAGTGGTTTAGCGCCACCTTCAGCCCAGGGCGTGATCCTGGAGACCCGGATGGAGTCCCACATCAGGCTCCCTGCATGGAGGCTGCTTCTCCCTCTGCCTGTGTCTCTGCCTCTGTGTCTCTCATGAATAAATAAATAATCTTTAAAAAAACTAAACTCTTATGTAGATATTTAGACTTTTTTCTATTCAAGGCAAAGGAGGGACATATGCAATTTATATACAGATTGATTTACATGGATTGATCATTGCTTAACTGGAAAGAGTAGCAGGGGCATGAAAAAACAGCTTTGTAGTTATGTCCACTTTGGTTAAAATTTCTCCATTTGCAGGGTGAGAAAAAAAAAGAATAATTGATTTCTAGGGATGTTTGACCCCTGGACATCTATAGAACTCTTGATAGCTCTCTTCCAGTGAAAAGCAACTTTGGTTAGGGCTTTTGTGGGCTGAAAGAGCAGAGTAGGTGGCCCACCTGGCCCTGAGGTCAAGTTCATTGGGTCTTCCCAAAGCTGTGTGATGTTGCTGGCTCCCAGTCTGCTCTTGGCACTGTCTCCCACAGAGAAGGAGACAGACATCAGATGGAACCTGCCCTCCTGCATAAAGCCAAGTGACCCTCTTGCGATTTCCCTCCAACTCATCAACATTCATGCCTTTTCAGCTTGAAACCCCTACTTTTCCTTTACAGCACAGCTCCACCATCCACCCCTTTTCAGTTAACCCAGCAAGTTCTCCACTTGGCACAATGCCAAGTTGACACCCCCTCCTTGATTGACTTAGCTCTTCCTTTCTGTATCAAAATTTGATCTCCTGGAAAACAGGAAATGTGTCTTATTAAGTTTCCCCAATATGGCAGCTAGTACCATGGATCCTGTGGGGACACAATGAACATCTGTCAACTGACCTTCTGCATCCAGCCCTCCTGTGGGAACCCAGGACTGATGGAGTCATCTGTATGAGGTCACTTGCAGAGCAACTACTGAGAGGATCCCACAGTGCTATTCTAACTGGAATACCATTTAAGCACTGGCGGAGTCATCTAAAGGGATGGGAGGAACCAAGCATGGGGAGAGGGTGTGTGGGCAGCTCTAATGCCTAGTCTCTTTTTATGCCATGAAGAATGAAAGGCTTCCGCCATCCCAACGAGAAGCAAATTACTAGGTGATGACAACTGATAGGAAATGATGAACATCCTTTCCTCAATAACTTTTACTGGTGGATCTGATCTCTAACATTACAGCATTCCCTGGGAAATGGATTGAGTGTCCTAAAGTTTTTTTTTTTTTTTTTTTCAGGAAAAGATACTCAGTTGTAATGAAGTGCCATCAAAATCTTTAGAATTATCAATAACAGAAAGGTGCCAGTTGCTAATGTAGCTTAAGATACTTTTGGGGATCCCTGGGTGGCTCAGTGGTTTAGAGCCTGCCTTTGGCCCAGGGCATGATCCTGGAGTCCTGAGATCGAGTCCCGCGTCGGGCTCCCTGCATGGAGCCTGCTTCTCCCTCTGCCTGTGTCTCTTCTTCTCACTCCCTGTGTGTCTCTTGTCAATAAATAAATAAAATCTTTAAAAAAAGAAAGATACTTTTGACTGATCATTTTCCAAAGGTTCATATATAGAAAGAGCAGTGAGAAAAGACAGGTTTCTTAGCTTTTCATGTATTCAAAAAAAAAAAAAAATCACAATGAGGGGAAAAAGAAAACCACCATTAGAACTACCATAATAACTGTTGTAGGCAAGATCTGCTGACACATGGTAAAAATAAATGGGCAAAAAGTTTGAAGAGAACCAGAATATTTGCAGTTTCAAAATATTTTTTCCAATATAGAGAAAAATAGTAACTTTCTAGTGAAGAAACCCAGCAGACACGACTTCAACCAAGTGATCAAGATGAACACTATCAGTAATTAGACATATTGATATCATGCCCCTCCACCGTAGGGTACAGTGAGAAAGCCGCAACTTCTGTGACACTCTTGCTAAAAATGTGTCATCTCAAACTGACTACAAAGACAACCACCTGTCAGCTCCAAAGTGGGCAAGGGTATAAAAAAACACCCATCTAGTGCTCTTTCAAAGTGTCATGGTCATGAAAGACAATGAGTGAAGAATGGTCACAGACTGGAGGAGATTCAAGAGGCATGGCAGTTAAATGCACTGCAGGATCCTGGACTGGATCTCAGCCTCTGCAAGGAATGAGATTCCGACATGTGCTATGAACCTTGACAACGTTACACCAAGTAAAACAAGCCGGTCATGAAAGACCAAATAGTGTATGATTTCACTTACACTGGAAACCTAGAAAAGGAAAATTTAGAGAGCAAAATAGAAGGGAGATTACCAGGGTCTGTGGGGAGTTGTTATTTAATGAACACAGTTTCTGTTTCAAATGATGAGTAAGTTCTGGAAATGGGTGGTGGTTACGGTCGCACAAGACTGGGAATATATTTAATACCAGTAAACTGTACACTTAAAATGCTAAGTTTTAAATTATGTATATTTAATCACAAGCAAAGTAAAAAAAACAAACTATAGATAATTATCATCTTGTGGGCAGAAAAACTTCAGAGATTTCTTACATCTAACTGAAAACGTAGGGATGATTTATTGGCCCAAATTTTCTTTCTTTTCTTTTCTTTTCTTTTTTTTTTTTTGGCCCAAATTTTCTATCCTAAACTCTATCCCAAAAGTTCAAAGAAGTTAGTTGCACAGGAGAGCAGAGATTCCTAAACTGAGATGTTCTCACTGCCGGGGAACGTCTCTTCAGATCAATCCAAAGAGTAAGCTCTTGAGTGCCGGGCTGAGCACTCCTGATCTGTGCCCTGGCACCTCTCACAACACCTGGCACACAAGTGTGCATTAAGGATTGCTGACAAGTGACCTCCCTCAAAGGAACAGCTCCCCCAAAGGAAGAATTCAAATGTACCGTACCAGCAGAAGGAAAAGCAAGCATGCCAGCCAACACACACACAGGTCATGCGGGCCACAGATTCTCCTTTTTGAGGATTATTTATGGATCTCCATCCTCTTCCTCCATCTCCTTTGGCCTCTCTGCCACTGACAGGGAGGGCCAGAAAAGAGAACTCTCAAAATAATCGGCTCTGTGAATTGGTAAGATCTCTGACTGACCAGGGAAGAATGAGCATGGAAAATGCATTTTGTGTTCTTTCTGGGGAAAGGGGAGTTTGGGATAATCAACTCAGGAAGGTTAAAACGTATCAGGCCTTTTGAAAAGCATGTGCTTTAATCATAGTGCTGCTATACTGCAGCTCCATCATGGGTGCCCACCAGTGCCATCTCCCAGGGGAAGGCCCCCAATGACAGGGGCACCGCCAGGATTCCAGCTTGTAGGGGCTTCCTCCTTGTGAGCAGCCCACAGAGCCACAGAAATAATAAGAAAATCAATCTTATGGTCTCTTGAACACACCTGTCTCAGACTAGCTACAGAAACACCAGCTTGATCACCCACATGCTCTAAATGACTTGTTTATTGCCCCAAATCGAATCCAACTGCCTTCAGTGGTGATTCATCGCCTGCTGTGGATTTTTAAGAGGATCTCTGAAAGCAATTCAAATAAGGCTTCTGCAAACAGTTTGAGCAATGGCAGGATTACTTCTCAGGATGCTGTCTGCTGATGGTAGCCTAGAACACCAGGCATGTGACTTCAGTTGCCCATCCTATGTCTCGTCTCTCTGGGTTGACAGTTAAGAACCTCTCTAGGTAGTCTAAGGCCTACTCTTTATTCCCCCTCAGCCCATTGTGGAGAGCAGACTCTCCAACGATGCCTTAAGTTAGCCAGTAGATTTCCTGATTCCACCAATTCTAAACATTCAAAAAGTCAGCGCTTAGTCACTAAGGAGGCTAGAGAGGTCTGTGGGAAACAGGACAGAGCTGAGACAGAGAGAGATGATGCCCCAGTTTGTAGAGGGGCAGAACTGGAGGTGAGGCCTGGCTCTGTCACCACCCCATTAGGAGGCGGCATCAGCCATTCCTCCCTGGGCCCCTGCATGCTCCCTCCTCCTACCCAGCTCTGCTAAATGGAGCTGATGCTACCTGCTGTCCAAGGCCAGGAGGTCTGAATGAGCCCCAGCACTCAGCAAGCAGCAAGGATTCAGGCTGCTGGAAGCAGGATGGTTTTGTATAGATGCTTACCTCTCTCAGAGTTGGCTTGCCAATGAAAAAGTCTGTGTTCTTGCTGCTTTTGGGTGGGCTGAACTTGGGGTTCAGAAAAGCACATCCATTTGCGATGGCCTCCAGGGGAGCTGGGCCCTCATAAGGGAACCCGAGTCCAACAAACAACTGTAAGACAAAAAAGCACACCATATATAAACACAGCAATCAGGCCCGGTGGCCCTGGCTCACAGGGGCTATTCTGTGCTTCATCCCCATGTGGAAACCTCAGAGACTCTGGAAAATTCCCAGGCCCTAGGGGGTAGGGTGAAGAGAAGGCAGCTCACATCAGGAACTGAAAAACAGGACCGGGGACCATTAGGGGCTCATGAAGCTGCTCAGGTCATTATGTCCTCCTCTTCTGGGCGGGGGGAGGGAAGTAAATAACTAAATGTGTATGGGGGGGTGCCTGGGTGGCTCAGTGGTTGAGCATCTGTCTTTGGCTCAGGGCATGATCCTGGGGTCCTGGGATCGAGTCCCTCATCGGGCTCCCCGCATGGAGCCTGCTTCTCCCTCTGCTTATGTCTCTGCCTCTCTTCCTGGGTCTCTCATGAATAAATAAATAAAATCTTAAAAAAAAGAAAGAAGTGTGGAGGTGGGACAGTTGAGGGGGCAGGGAGGCAGGGGTATTCAAAGAATAAAACAACAACAACAAAAACCAAGACCCAACAATAATCTTTCTGTAACTCACCAGGAGACAAGACTGGAAAAACACTTGCTTAACTAAACAGAAGGTTTCTTCATTGAACCAAAGGAACAACAGGCCCTTTCAGGGACGCTGGGTGGAGGGACAGAAAGGTCACTTGGCGGTTTGATTACAGTTCAAATGGAGCGGCTTTAAAATGAGGGTAGGTCAGTAAACACGGGTTTTCGTAATGGGTTTTTTTCACTGGGGGACACCAACAACTTTGTTTTTATCTCCCCCTCAGTGGAGGCGAGCGGTGCTGAGCAGCTCACGGGCAAGACTGCTTCGTCCTCACAAGCACCCAGTGCGCTTCGGCCGGCGGGCGAGAGATGGCAGCAAACACACACTCTCCGGGCCTCGTGCACCGGGAGCTCCGGCTCCGAGAGCCCGGGACAAAGCGGCCTTGCTGCAGCCGGGATTCTCGGCCCCAAACTGAAGCAGCATCTCAGGGAAACGCCTCACTGCCTACCCCGCCCCCCCAGCCTCTCCCAGGGCTGGAGGGCTGTAAGCTAGTGACCCACTGGGTCTGTCACTTTGCCTCTCCGCACCCCCCTCCACGGGTCTCTCCCAGGGCTGGAGGGCTGTAAGCTAGTGACCCACTGGGTCTGTCACTTCGCTTCTCTGCTCTCCCCCCCTCCACCTCCCACGGAGGGTCTCTCCCAGGGCTGGAGGGCTGTAAGCTAGTGACTCACTGGGTCTGTCACTTAGCCTCTCCGCACCCCCCCCTCCACGGGTCTCTCCCAGGGCTGGAGGGCTGTAAGCTAGTGACCCACTGGGTCTGTCACTTCGCTTCTCTGCTCCCCACCCCACCTCCCACGGAGGGTCTCTCCCAGGGCTGGAGGGCTGTAAGCTAGTGACCCGCCAGGTCTGTTGCTCCCAGGAGTCAGTGCTGAGACGGCTCCAGCCTCCAGAGGCACACGGATCACGGAAGGATAACTGGGCCCCACGGCATCCTTCCCTCCTGCCATCAGGCTGAGGAACACCCACACAGCCAGGTCCCAGAGTGAAGGATACTGGTGAAGTGGATACAAGGCAGGCTCGAGTCTCCTCTCTGGGGCCCCTCCCCAGCAATTCCGTCTTCGCAGGGGGCGTCAATGGAATGGTTGCTTAGAATGATGTGGGGCCAAGAGACCTGGGTCCCAGGTGCGGGTTCCCTGGGCACCACTGAGAGCCCCAGATAGTTTGTCCTGAGCGCTCAAAACCCGGACTGAACATTGAGCATGGCCCACGCTGGAAACACTGGAGCCCCCCACAGGGATTCTTCTGGGACAAGAAACAAAAATCCCAGGTTTTCTGGGTAGACTCCCTATCCTCCCTACGACTGTATGTTCTTTTTGCACGAAACAGGGTACTTGACCTTTCTTGCTTGTTTGTTTTGGAGGAATAGCCTTTCATTTCCTATAAAACCTTGAGATGACCAAATATAACTGCCAGGGACCTCCGCTGGAGGAGTTGAGGAGAGCAGCTATGAGTGGCCAGCAGAGCTCCCACTGCCAGCTGGGGGCACTAGCCCTCAGGCAGAACCTCTGCGGATGTGTGGGTGAGGAACATCATGTTTGCAGGGGCCTGGAGGGTGTAGGATAGGAGAAGCATCTCCACCACCACTTGGAGGCCCTGTTTCTGTATCTTATTCTTAACTTTTAAATATTTTAATTAATTTATTTATTAGAGATGGATTGAGAACCTCAAGCAGAATCTTCACGGAGCACAGATCCCAACATGGGGCTCTATCTCATGACCTGGAGATCATGACTTGTTCTGAAATGAAGAGGTGGACGCTTCACGGACAGAGCCACCTAGGCACCTCTGGATCTTACTCTTAATAAGTAGCTGACAGGAGTGAAATTATCAGAGAGAACTGAAGTGTAGAGGGTGTGGCCTGAGCATGTGACTGGGCGGAGGGTTGGGGGAGATGTCTGAGAACAGCAGAAGAAATGGAAGGCAAGACTGGGAGGGACTAGTCCCAAGACACTGCAGCTTTATTAAATATGAAGAATCCAGGGTTGCCATCATTCAGGCTTTTGAGCCCTGTGATCCGCCCTATCAGTTTTGGGGGAGGATATGCAGCCTCTCCAGGGGAAAGATGACCTCTCTCAGGTGGTGATTGGGTGTAAGAAAGCAAAGGGCTTCCAAATCCTTTTGACTCTGAGAAGAAAAGTGCTGGAAGATACAGATGGGGTGGGGGGTGGGGGTTCTGTGGGTTTAACCAGAGACCTGGAGCCCACAATGTGTCCTGACCTCTGAAAATCAGTGCCTGCCATAAAGTGCCAATACCTTCATCAATCCTAAATTACAAAGAACTTTGGAGGAAATGCAGGATGCACAATGACTATTTAAACGGAAAATCCTGGAAAAAAATTTAATTAGCTCCTTCGGACCAACCAATCTGAACCCATTAATTAAAAGGATTTGAGGCTGTTGCCTAATGGACTTGAATGTGACCTAGGTTTAATTATATCTGAGTAACAATTTGCACCATCTCGGCTGCCCTGCTGGCATCGAAAATATCTCAGTACACAGAAAGTAAATAGTTCGGGCTAACTCTCCAAAGCTGCACAATTTGAGAATGAAGCTTACGCAAATCCATACAATTTCTTGGCAATGAGTTTTCTTGTCATGCTAATTAGGATTGCAGGAAATGCAGGACTCAGAAACACCAAAATAACAGTTGTCACTTCTGTCAATAAGCAATTTTTTCTCATTTCCTGTGTACTCATTACCTGTGACATTATAATGGAGCAGACGCATTAAGGTCAAATAGCACACTTGAGGTTTGAATCACAAAAGGGTAGGCAGAGAGAGCACCTCACCAGCAAAGGGCATCCCAGAAACTTCTGAGTGCCAGGGTCTTGGCACACATCAGAGCCTTAACCATACTCAATTTCCTTTCCCCCAGTCCCCAGCACTGTGCTACGTACAGATCTCCGCAGCACAGGAGCAACAGACACACCACAAGAATGCATTCATTCAAGCAGAGGCTTACCTTTTCAAGAGGAAACTGGGTGTATTTTATTTATACTTCATCTGGCCTTCAGAAGCCCAGAATCAAATGAAGATATTCCAGATGAAGGAACCATCTTCATGGCTGCAATTCCTCCCCCTATCAGTAAGCATTTTTAAACCGGGGGAATCACACGTTCTAAAATTAAATTTTTGAACTTAACACTGAGCAAGAGAAAAGGGAGGAAGCACCACAGATTTTAGTCACGGCACAGGACTGGAACATTCCTACATGTCCACAAACGGTTCAGTAAAGCCACTCAGAGTCTTCCTCTGTGCGAAAGGAGAAACGGAAATTGTTTTAAATCCCTAAATCTGGAGTAGTTAACAGAGAATCCTTTCAACATGGATAGAGGTGGTTCTTAGGAGGACTCCACGTGAGTTCGGTCTGTTTCTAGTCACTATGGATGGGGAACATCAAGAATATCCAAAATAGAAGACACTCATTGAACCTAATAGCTTTTCTGCCTAGCCTGAACTAGCTAAATTAGTGGACTGGTTCAGGAGGGAGTCAGGGCAATGAATCCATCTTAGCTTATGCAGTAAATTGAATACTGGCACAAAGTGATGAGGACAATGTGGTACCTGACAGCACAGAGTCTAACTCAGGCCAACTGGAGCTCAAATCCCGACTGCATCACTTCCTAGTTCTGTAACTGTGGGAAATGGTTAATGCCTCCTCCTACAGATTAGCTGAGGCCCATTGACAACATAATCTCTCCAGCTGTGGGACCTTACTCAGGGTACCACAAGCTCTCTAAACCATCCTGTCATATATATAATGGTGAAAATAATAGTGCTTTATTGCATGAGGCTTCTGCAAATACTAAATGAGATGTTTCGTAGAAACGATATATTCCAGAGTTGGGGCTGAAGTAAAATGTTCCCTGAATAGGAGTCTGAATCCAGATGAAACTTCACGCAGCTGCACACTCATGACCTTGTATTGTTTAGCTGGAGTTTAGATGTGTGTGAGCTGTGCTTGTGGGTTTTATAAGATGTTCGGCACCTGTATGTGTATTTATGAGTTGTCCCTATTTCATAAAGTATCTGGACTAAAAAAAGGGGGGGAAGGACATCCATGAGAAGAGCAAGAAGGCATGGTTTATGGTGGCTGCCTCATGGAGAGGCCAGTTCCATAAGCCAGGTGCTATTGCTAAGCCTTACTTGTTTCTTCTTCATTTAATAATGGAGAATCCCTGTAGTATTGGTAATGTATCTTTGAAAAGAATCTTTATATCTTTAAAAAGGATCCATATGGCAGCTGAGAATGGAGGAAATGTATTCTTCTGAGAGATGATGCTGCCATGTAACCTCAAGGGTCCCTCTCTGGCCATGTGTCTGTCCCTTTTGCACTTGATGCTGAAGGAAGAGAACAGTGGCCAAGATCTCTCCCATTAGGTTTGGCTATACCCTTTCACGGGCTGCCCACGTCCCTAACCTA